AGCCAGAGTCACAGTGTGTGTTTCTGTTCCAGGAGAGACTACTGGAGCTGTGTGGTCACTCATCTTCCACATATCATCTCATGAAAGCTAACCACTTTCTCTCCCGAGTCCTGTCCACACATGGTTTATCATTCATGTGCTGTCCTGCCTCCTTAATAGTCCCAGCAAATCATAGAATCATAGAATGGTTTAGGCTGGAAGGGACCTTGAGGATCATCAAATTCAAACTCCCTTGCCTTAGGCAGGAACACCTCCCACTACACCAGGCCTTGAACACCTCCAGGGATGGGGCAGCCACAACTTCCCTGGGCAACTTGTTCCAGTGCCTCACCACCCTCAAAGTGCAAAATTTCTTCCTAGTGTTTAATCTAAACCTGCCCTCTTCCAGTTTGAAGCCATTCCCCCTCGTCCTATCTCTGCACACCCTAGTAAAAAGTCCTTCCCCAGCTCTCCTGTAGCCCCTTTAGGTACTGGAAGGCCGCAATAAGATCTCCCCGGAGCCTTCTCTTCTCCAGGCTGAACAGCCCCAACTCTCTCAGCCTTTCCTCATAGGAGAGGTGCTTCAGCCGTCGGATCATCCTTGTGGCCCTCCTCTGGACCTTCTCCAACAGGTCCATGTAATGCCTGGAACTTAATTTGTTTCTACCAAGTACGTAGAAGAGGGAAGAGGTGTGTTCAGAGTGCAGAGGGGATGTTTGGAAAGTGTTATGGTTGATATTTCATGGCACATCGACTCTCTTTGTAATGAGCTTCCTGATATATCAGAGACCCAAGCCAGTAAGTTGTGGTAGGCAATGCATCACTATGAGGACTATCTTGAGTCCAGAAGCAGTGTAGCTGCGCTCAAGCACAGTGCCTGCAAATGCAGTTGTACTGTTTGCAGATCCAAACTGGTTTCTGGGCAGCTCTCCCAAACGTCCAGAAGTGTCTCACCTTATCTTCCTGCTGTTGGGAGAAGTGAATGTCACCAGGTAGAAGGTCTCTGCATCTATATGTTGCAGTTCTCAAGGAGTTCGGATGCAGAGATGGCTATATGAAGACTTGGAACATCTGCATAGTCAGGTGCTGAGAGCTGAGGTTTATTAGCTTTGGACTACTCAGAGCACGGACAGATGATGCATGTGACAGTTTTCTCTTGATCAAGAAGACGTACTTACAGTACAAGTACTAGTCACTCTACATTTAACTGCACACTGACACACAGTTCATGCTGCACATCTGTGCAGCGGTTCATTAAAAATGTTTCCTATTCAGGTGGATTTATCTTTGTGCTTTTCTTAAATTAATTCTCCTCCAAATCACACCGAATCGTCTTTAACATCTGAAGAAAGGTGGGAAACAGATATGTACAAAGGGAGTAGCTATAGCCCAGGAGAGTTCTTTCAGACACAAGATGTTAAACGGCTTTTTGATCAGCCGCTTGTAGAAATGTACATTAAACTGTAAACCATGGTTCTTCTTGTAACCAGCTAATGATCCTATCAGTCGCAGACTAATTGCCTCTACCTCATTCTAAATTCTGCTGCATTAAAAAAGCCAAAGTCACATTCTGATCCTGTTAATCACATTCAGCTTTGAAGAGTACGTAGTGGTTGTGTGTTAATTCAACTTCTCTCCCTGGTAATTTGTTTGATTGCCTGTTACTTGCAGTCTGCACTAACTGAATAAATGTGTTCTGCATCCTGATGGGAAACTATGACATAGGTTTAAGCTATTTTAATGCAGATGTTTTGCCTAGAGATTGGGGTAAATTCTTCTCACCTTTCTGCTTTAAAGTACTTCCAATAGGAGAAGTGAAAAGCAAAGGTGTTAACCCTTTGCAGAAGGTAATAAAGCAACAGACTAAAAGCTGTATTTCTTTAATGCTAGGTTAATAGCAATCTTTATTGCCTGAAGGCTTCTCATAAGCTTATGAATAAATAAGTAAATAAGATACTAAAGTATGAGGTGGAGATGTTGGTGCTATATCCTTTTATTCTTTTCCTCCATCTCCAGCAATACGTATTGTGTGTATTGTCAAGACCTAGAACAGAATCTGTCTATTCATTACTTCCTTTTTTTCCCCATTTTTTAAAATATAATACACACACACAAACATACACACAGATATTCCACACAGTGCTATGCAACTCTTTCAGAAAAAGACTGAACATATGCCAAATTACCTTTCAGCTTCCCACATCATTTTTCTGAACAAGAGTACAACACCACTGGATATGTCCTATAAGAACAAAACTATTTTTACTAGGACATTTTTATTAACATTGGATCTGTGTGATAATAAAGATTTATTGTGATTTTACCTTTGAAATCCCTTGAATTTTAATGAGAATTTTTTTCCCTGTTCTGAATTTCAATGAGAAGTACTCTGAGTGTCATGGCCATGTTAAATATTTGTGAAATACTTTTACATTACTTTCAACATTTTAAAAACAAACAACTTTTTAATGGAGGCATTTTTTCAAGTTAACATGAGAGATATTAACTTTTAGTATAAGAAGCATTCTCTGCTAAAAAGAGGTTACACTTGAAAATGCTAATGTTAAAATTATTTATAAAAAGAATCTAAAGTTGACTCTGAAATGTTTCGTTCAAGTGCTGCCTAGAAGTGTGGACCAATTAGTGATTCCTTACCAGGTCAGCCTTTTTGAAAAACAGACTGTTCATTTAGACTCCAAAATATTTGGAAGCAAGGTCTGGAGACCTGGTGTTTATTAATTCATGAAAGACTTATACTAATTAGCAGCCTTCATTTCCCAAAGGCCCACTTAGGCTATGGAAGCAAGCACCCCTGCACTCCTTACAGAAGAAAGAAGTCCCTTCAAGCAGCATCCAAAGCGGACTCCCGCTCTGAGTGATCATTAGTTGAGTCCCCTTCTCTCTCCATTGACCAAAGAGAAAACAAAAAGAGTTTTGCCTTCCAAGGATACTTCCCTCATATTCTGGGTTGCTTCTCTGAGCAACATCGCTGCTATCAGATGGCAATAAATTAGTTTATTCTGGTAGAACCAAAACTCTTGGGCCGTCTGCAGACAATGACATTTTCCACTTACTGTCGTAGTATCTCAGTATTGAAGCTTTAAAGTTATTCCTTTTCTTAAAAGGATTTGCTACTCATTATTTGCTACCTGTCTTTAAATATTGGGCCAGGGGTCTCCAGTCTTCCTTGTCCGATTGCTCTAGAGAGTCATTTTTCCTCCTCTTTTCTTGTAAGTGTACTTTTCTGTGTTTTCTTCTTTACAGAGTCCAAACTGTAGTGTCCATCTTTCAAAGGCATGGGCTTGGATTAGCTGACTTCTTCTGCTTGTTTATTTTTCCTTCTCTTCTCACGATTAATTTTTTATGCTTTGTATTACATCTGTTCCTCCGTCTTGCCCCACATTCCAGCAAAATCTAGTTTGCTCAGGGGGCCTCAGCTTCCCAAAATCACAAGACTGGATCTTCAGCATTTTATCAGCCAGAGATTCTTTATTTCTTCACTTTCTCTTTTGAATTTTTTGCTGTAAAAACATATAACCCACCATCTCATGGAGTTCAGCACTCTTCTCATTTTACTGTAATATTTTTACTATTAGTCTCTCTTGCCTGATTTAACGGACAATATTAAAAATGCCGACTGCTTCACAGCCATTTATTGTTTGAAATAAATCTACCTTTTTTCTTTCTTTTTCTGGCTTGCTGCATTGCTGGAGGAGACAGTTTTAGCTTCATATTTCAAGAAAATATCAATTTTGATAGGGAATTCAGCTCCTCCATTCTTCCTCTAAAAATACGTTATTAGGTCAATTTACTTCTGTTATTGTATTCTGTTCCTTGATCATTTTAATCCAAGGCATCTGGCCCGAATCTGTTATATTCAGTGTTGGGTTCTGGTTCAAAAGAACTGATCACAGATGTGCTGACCCATGTGAAACCCACTTGAAAGCTCAGATTTTATTAGGCTTTACGATTCCTGCCTTGCATTTTTAAAAGACTTGTGCTAAGATTATGAAATAAAGAACTCAAAAAAATCAAGGAATGAAAAAGTCAGAGCTTTAGAGGTAGAAAAAGAAATAAATGCTTAAAGAGAGAAGAAAAGTTCAGCATGAAAAGTGTGATAGCAAATGTTTTAAAGCACTTAGTAAAGCACCAATTCTGTTACTGCAAAGGAAATGGAATGGCACTTGCGGAATCCACCTCTGGGGTACAGTATTCTGATTATTAGGAGCACATGGAAAGGCTTTTTGGCTACAAAATATTTGCAGTGGAGACTGCTGTTTTCTTGGGACTGTGTATGGCACCTAGCACAATGGAAAATGGTACAAGAGTAGCCCTGTTGTGTCATTAGGTGGCATAAACTACAGGCAACAAATAGAAAACAAAAGTAAATTCACTTGGAACTTGCAGAAGGAAAGTTACTGTCTGTGGTGCCAGCACGCAGCGGACATGTTGCAAAGCAGTGCAAAGCCACCCCTTGGACTGTGTCCTCTCTCACCATGCACTAAGGGGCTTTCTAACAACCCTGGGTTTCCCTGCCTGCATCCAAGAGCCGCCTGCGAACAGTGTGCGATGTGCTGCACCGTTTCGCTTTGGTGAGGTGTAAAGTCAGACTGCAAATAGAAACTGTTCTAATTACAGAATCACAGAATCACAGAATAGTCAGGGTTGGAAGGGACCTCTGGAGATCATCTAGTCCAACCCCCCTGCCAGAGCAGGGTCACCTACAACAGGTTGCACAGGATGGTGTCCAGGCGGGTTTTGAATGTCTCCAGAGTGGGAGACTCCACCACCTCTCTGGGCAGCCTGTTCCAGTGCTCCACTACCCTCAAGGTAAAGAAGTTCCTCCTCATGTTAAGATGGAACTTCCTATGTTCAAGCTTGTGCCCATTACCCCTCGTCCTATCACTGGGCACTACTGAAAAAAGACTGCTCCCATCCCCCTGGCATCCTCTCTTTAAGTATTTGTAAGTATTAATTATGTTCTCCTGTGATTTGTTTTATTTCTGTTTTGTTCTGTTTAGGTTGACCTGCTTGTCCCTACGAAAATCACTGGCATAATTACCCAAGGAGCTAAAGATTTTGGTCATGTCCAATTTGTGGGATCCTACAAGCTTGCTTACAGTAATGATGGGGAGCACTGGATTGTATACCAAGATGAAAAACAAAAGAAGGATAAGGTAAAGCAAATTGATATTTTGGTTGCGTTTACAGAGGACTACATCTGCAGCAACTGCAGTGCTGGAAGCCTGTAGATTATTGCATGCTGCCTGCTTTATGGGGTTCCATACGCATAGGATCCCACAGATGAAAGTCAAGGTGAATAAAAAAGTCATATAACACAGTGACATTCACAGTGCAGTAATATCATACCTATCAGGGCAATACACCTGATTTAGCACTGTTAAATATGGGACATAAAACTTTATGGTTCTCCATTTATTGGAATTATTTCTTCCTTTAACTCTAGAGGAGAAGGTATATAAATAGCGGTTTATTTGTATATACAAAAACAGTGTCTCAGTGCATATTTTCGTAAGTATGCACTATTTTCTGTTATGTTCTGTAAAGCACATCTTTAGTGTACTTCATTGCCTAGCCGTTTTGGATTGATATTTTTTTTCCTGGAAATTAATCACTAGGGTTTCAAACACCCAACGGAAAGATTATTTTTTATTACACTATTAAATGAATACAAAACATAAAAAGTTTCACAACTTCCTTTGCAAACGTTTAATGAGAGCTGTAGAGAAAGTCTAGGTTTGCTGATTGATTTACCTGGAAGCACTTAACTTTTCTCTTGCTATTTAGGATATTATTCATTATACCTTTTCTTTAAACTGTATAACAATTTTATACTGCAAATACCTATTCACAGGTTAAGAAAGAGATTACAGCATATGCATTTTTTAAGAGGAATGTTAAGCAAGCTGACAAAATGTGAATTATTTATTAAATATCTTGGTGGGATTATGTCTGTTTGAAACAAAAGATACATTAATAAAAATGCCAGGTGCCTGATATGTCTAATAACACGCATCTTAAATCAGGTCTTTTTAACATCTGTATTCAGCGTGATAAACGTGCACTTATTTTTCTTAGAATAAACAAAAATCCTTTGGTAAAAAATTAATACCCTTCATATAGGTCAATTCAATTAATTTTTTGAAGTAATGAGAAAGCTTTTGATATGTATCGATGTGTGTTGTTTGAGTACAGGTAGATCTATTGATGAGGGGTTTAGACAACTGCATCTCTTAAATTTCACTAATTGATCAAATGTACACCCATTTATTAGAGGAAGGTGTCCTAAATTACTGGGTTAAATATGTACATAACTGTATGTGTGTGTCAGCATAGACATGTCACCTTTATAATATTATCCAAAGACGACATTGTAAAGTCCCACTCTTAAAAGCCAAATAGCAGTTCACTGTGGTTTTATCCTGCACTAAGAGTTTTCCCCATCAAATTCTAAGGGATTTTAGATAGGGAAAACAAAATCAGGTTTTTTAGCCATCTAACTGAGAAGGTCCTGACACCAATGATTATGGATGTGTCTAGCATAATTGGTTGTCAGATAAAAATTGGAAACAAACAACTCACCTTTCACAGACACACCATAAATGCATTCCATATAAATGACAGATACTCACTTCAATACTTTGTACACATCCCATTTTAAATCCCGGCATTTAACAACAGAAGCAAAAGATCTACTGTGAATGAAATGTCGTCTCCAAGCCAAACTTCCATTAGTGAACTGTTGCATTCATTTTACTGAAAAAAAGAATGAACATGCATTCAAGTCTCCAGTGAGAAACACAGTACCAGTTGCAAGCAAATCTAAAAGAAAATGCACTCTCACTTAACAGCACTATTCCAGTCTACACTTGTTTATAGCATTTGCCAAATCAATTAAATTCTTTTTGCTTTCATCATCATCAGGATTGTTAGTTGTTATATGCATAGTCCATTAGGAACAATGGAAAACTCTTAATCATTGTCTTATTAAAACATCTCATATCCCATATTAATTAACATCCCTAAGAATGATACATGCATCTTATTATGATTCTTTAACAAATCAAAAGCAATTAAAAGCAGTGTGAGATCAAATACCCTTAGCTGTAAATTGCAAGTTATAACTTCTGAATTTCAATTTGTAAGAAATAAACAAGGTCACTTGATACAAGTCTAGACCTCAGTCTTTGAGTCAAAAGTCTGATGGCAGAATCTGACATTCTAGAAATGCTAGCTTAACCTGGCAAAATTTTATAGGAGGTAGGACTGGAAAGGATCTCGAGACAGCACCTTAGCACATACCTCCTGACCTACAAAGAGACTACGCTCCTCTCCTGCCATCCCCTCTGAGGTCTTCTCAGCAGAAAATGGGATTCAACAACCCCCAAGTCCCTTCCTGTCACCCTAGGAGTAGGTGCAAACAGTTAATTGTTAGAACTAAGGCTTATATCATTCACCTGTCCTTCATTTCATACAATGCTCATCCTGCACGATTCCCCATCAGATTATTATTTGTTTGTAGAAAAAGCCAGTGATAAAAAATCTACTATATAAGCTGTCTATTCCAGTATTTAAATATCCTTAAAGGTGGAAAGGTTGCTTATCCCCCTCCCAGCAGTCCATCCGCACTGTCCTCAGAGAACACAAAAATCTGATTTTATCTTCCTCTTTTCAGACACTTTGTTTTGATTGAAGCATGTTAACTTGTTTCTTCTCAATTTCTTATTGGGGAAAAAACAATCCCTGTTCTTTCAGTCTTTCCTCAAAGGGTATTTTTTCTCAACCTCAGATCATTCAGCTCTCCTGAAGTGTGGTTTCCCGAGCTTCTTTGTAGTTTTGCAGTCTTTAGCACAGAACTACTGCCTGCTCCATCATTCTCCATATTGTACCTGTGACATTGGTTATGACTTCCTAAGGTTTGGTTTGCTACTCATCATTATTAAATGACGCCATTGATCTTCTGCTCATTTCTCCAATTTTTTAAGACCACTATGAATTTTGATCCACTTTTCAAAAAGGGAAAAGCTTGTCCACATCTGCACTTTTAACAAACAAACCAATTTCCATCATCCATTTCATTACTGAAAAGACATAAATTCTGTTCAGCCAGAGGCATGGAGCATCACCCAGTAAAACCTCATAGTTTGACACCAAACCCTTCATCACCACTCCAGCTAGGTGTGTGTCAATGCTGTGTGCTCTGATGGGGTTTACCCACTGGATGTCTATAGCACCAGAAATACAGGCCACGCTCTGACCTGTGTGTAGTGGAACAGAAATATAAATGGAAAATAAAAATGGCCAAAGAAAAAGCAATGCTGTGCCTCATCCTTTGGGAGCAGAAGAGAAATAGCATCGTTGGTCCTATCTGATAGTAACATCTGCACAGGATCCACAACAATTTCTTTAGCTTAAGTTAAGGTACAAGATTTCACCCAAAATGCAAGAGCACTGTAGAAGAAAGCATGTTTTCACAGCAAAGTGAAACTTCCATGAAATGTTTCTTCTGTCCCCTGAAGATACAGAAGGGAGATAAAAGATAGTGGCAACTATCAACAGCAGCAAGCATAAATTATTCATAATTGACCCTCATTCATTCTATTTATTAACTGAACATCTTGATTTCTTCTATGAAGGATAAAATATATAGATTTCTTATTTCTTCTGCAAGTGATTTACTCATCCTATATTCATCCTGTGAGCTTCATACAATCATCCAATAATTTAGGAGAAAGCTGGTTCCAAAAACTTTCAGGGAAAGGAAGACAGGATAAAAGAAAAATAACTACCTTTAAAGTCCTAACAAAATCTGTCATTTTACATTCGGGAAAAGCAAAGATTAAAAGAATGTTTCAGACACAGAAATTATGGAGATACTGGTAGGCTGGTAGTAATGATTTATGGATGAATATTGTGACTTTAAAATGCATTGAAGTAAGAGCTGAGAGCTTAATCCTGCCTGGTGCTGAACATCTCACTGTTCAGCAGTTTACAGGATGAGTCCTAATGTGTCAGCCGATCTCAGTGAATTCCTGAAGCTATTAACTTCTGCCTCTTCATCATTCCTGAAGTTATTTTACAAAGGAAAAAAATACCCGCGTCTTGTATTCAGAAGTGCACGATGTGCAGCCTGTATCTTTGATCACTCTGCAACAAATTAGTTGTTTCAAACAGAAGGAAATATGGTGTTCAGTTTTCTTCTTCACACCATTTCGAATGGAAAAGCTGTTCCAAGAACAGTGGCTCCTGCAGCTCCTGTTTGTCTTCTGCTATTTTAACAGCCGGTCATTTGAGTTCACATCTGTGCTGAACTTCTATGAACACAGACGAAAACATACTAGTGGGGAAAAAAAGCATGTCTTTGAAAAATGAAGCCTTTCTCATTCATTTTAAATAGCTTGAATGAGTTGCCTGGAAAATGTGAAAGATTTTCCTGTTGTCCTCAAGAAGCAAAATAAATTACATTGCAGGCTGGCAAGTAGGAAGAAAATATGTTTTAGAAAAAGGACCAGAGCTAATAGCTATCTTGTTTTTCTCAACTAGAGGTCAGTAGCTCACTATGCCTCCAAAGCTAAGGACATCCAAACCAAATTTGACTTTTTTGGTTTTTGATCACACTCCACGTGTGATTTATAAATTGCACAGCCTGCTGTAGATAACTCAGGGCCAGCTGCAATGTCAAATGCCATTTTGGAGGTTTGGGTTTTTTTTAAAAAAATAAGATGAGAACACTTGAAAGTAACCTAAAGGAATCTAGCAGTCTGCAGCACTGTCAGGCAATATTAGCCATCAGCAGTGCAATTAACTGCAGGTAGGCAATGTCCAGTATGCAATTGGCCACTGGATTTGTGCACAAAATTATGAACTAGTTATAAGTTGTATGCTTTGCATGTCTAGGTAATTGCTATAGAAATGGAAGGCAGGAGCCTACTTATAAATGAAAGTTAGATCATGTCAGGTCAAAAATCTTTCTGCTAGATTTGCTAATGTTTTTTCTATATGGTGTTTAATTATTATAACACCTGGTTTACAATGATAGATTCGATTCCTACATATAACCTACATACTATTCATAGTTAAAGAGCTTTTTTTAGTAATGTTATTTAAAATATTATTATTATTTAGTAATAAAATTTAAAAATAATATTTTAATCTAACAGTAATCTCTTTTCTGCACTGGTTTAAATTATGAGTGACTCCTATTACTTTCAGCTGAGTTAACACAATTTTTATCAGATGAAGATGTAGCTATACTCATTGTAGGCTGTGCCTCCAGCACACATATCTCTCTCCCATGTACCACAATAAGAGCTGAAGGAAGACAACATGCTCATTAACGGTCTCTACCTTGGATTTCTAAAAGCATTTCTGGAGGGAAGTTGGTCTTCAAAATAGTTCTCTTTTTGCTTGGCTTCGAACTTTCTGTCATAAAGCACTTATAAACTATGTACAGTGGAGTAAATTCCCATTTTAGTAGCATCAGTAGATAGAGCAAGTGGGTAAAATAACAAGAATGTGATGTTTTGCAAGTTTGAAAGTTTTATCTGCCTGATACCTATTCTGAACTTGAAGAAATAATAAAGGTCATGTAATATATACTATTATTCATGCATCGACAAGAGAGGAGAAAGCAGTCCTTCTGGCACTGGACAGATCTGGAGTGGAAAAAAATCTACACCCACCCACAGAGATTTTACATATACCAACTGAAAAGAATGTCTTTTTTCTCCTCTTATTCACTCCAAAAATACATGTGCACATAAACACATACACATGTGTAATAAACCCCTGCCCAGTCTCTTAGAATGGAAAGCATCTTCCACAGGGTGGAGTATACTTATAAACAGCAGCTCTATTTCTGGTGAGAAATCATCCTCTTTAACCTGGTGTTGTTCACTGACATAAATAGATATATCCTCTGTGAAATCTTTAACATTCTACAACAGGATTGTCAAAACAGTCACCTTTTAACGTAGGAGCCACTGGTGTGGGTGAGGCTAAAGCCCTTTCCAAGGGAGGGAGCACCCTGTAGCAGATAACTAGAGAAATAAATAAATAAAAAAAAAAAATGGACTATTATTCTTCCCTAGTGTACCTTCCCAGCCTCTGGCTTTCCTCTATCTGTATTTTTAATACCACCTGCTGATTTTGCCCCTAACAGTTTATCTGGTCTTTAACAGTAGCTAAAGGCTGTGGAAACAGTACCACAGTTTAATTATGTGTTGTATGGGGAGCCGTGACCTTTAGGTGGCTCAGGAGAAGCCTGCTATCATTCCTTGTCCCCTCGCAGCTCTGATAGGGGGACAGCGCAATATTGCCCGCTATTGATTTTCTCCATGCCGCTTACGCATTCATAGATATCTATCATATCTCCTTTCAGGCTGAAGAAACTTGGTCCATTTAATAATTTGCGAAGGGACATTCTTCTGTCCTTGTGGCCATCTTGCCACTTCACTCTATATATTTGCTGTTAGAGACAAGGCAGGACTAGGTCTGGACCCACCCAGAACTCAAAATGAAGATATGTGCTGACTTTGTGCACTGACATGTTAATAACTTACACTCGGCTCTTTATTCCTTGACCACTAATCAGCTTGGGTTGTATTGTCATTGGGCAAATTTTTTTCATCTGAAAATGACATAGATCTATTTATTATAAATCCAACGTCAGGTTCTTGAATGCTGATAAATCTTTACAGTCTTCAGAGGTGGTGTATACTGAAACAAACTTCTCGGGCAGAAATGTAACAAATGAGCATTTATGGTATGAGGCTACTGGCTCTTCAAGAGCTTCTAATTGCTTAGATGGTTCATTTACTATTGACTGTTTGGGCATAAAACAACGGGTAATTAAAGAAAAATTACATTTGGCTACAGAAATAGCTTTTTTCTGCTGATAAGTCAGATGTACATATTTTGTCCTTTGTCCTCCCTGCTCTTTCCAAACTTTTGACTCCATTAGTGAACTTAAGTTGAAGTAAAATGAAGAGTGAGAAAGAATATATTTTCCCTATAAGAACTTTGCCATATGGTCCACAGCAAAAACATCCAGGAAAATTGCTCTCAGAATATTATATTTCATGCAGGTCACATTTGTGGATGCTGACAAAGCTTCCCTCACTTTCTGATAAATTTATTTCCTTAAATCTTTTTTCTGATCTAGCACTTTTAGTTAATTTCTTGAAACTGAATCTTGAATTTTGACAGAAAGTGAATTTCAGATTTTTAACCTCTGAAACAGATGAGTTTGACTTCAAGTGCTAATGAAATCATGTATGAGTTAGAAATAAAATTTAATTCCCATTTTCCTGCTCTAAGTAAATGACATAATCCTGTCCTGTTCAGCTGTATTTGTTGCTTGGTTTGCATCACATACTTTTATTTATTTTTCATAGCTAAATGTGGATACAAATACTGGGGCTATAGATGCATTCTTCTGGTAAACAGCAATGTTTTTTGTTCTAAGCCTTCATTTAAATGTTAGCTCTGAAATACTTCTTCCACAGGGAAAACAAAATAGACAGTAAAAGAATTTCCCAGTAGCTCTGCAGCAAGAATTGTCTGCAGTTCTGCATTGCTTATCATCTAGCTTGGTAAAAAATATCAACAGATATATTGCATGCATGCACAAGAAATCAAAGGAAAAAAAAATACTTTTAAGCTTTCCAAGCTGCATATTGTACATTGTGGGGTCCTACTCTGTAACTTTATTAATAAGCTTACTGCCTTTTATTGTATACTATATTGCCACAAATGAAACTCAAATTCAGGCGCTATCTTGTTAGCCCATGCTCCAGCTGATTCGTGCAATCAACACTCTACTTGGACAACAAACAATTTTTCCTGTGATAAATACATTTTTTTCCTTAGACTCAAGGCACTGTTGTTTCTGTGGTTAGTCTATCTGGAATTTCATCCATCCATCTTAACTCCTAGGTGCTTTAATGCTCCCATCTCTGTGTTAGTGAGATGCCAGATGAGAAGGGAAATTTATCACTTGTGAAAGAGCACCACTTGTGGAGGATACACATTTTGTTTCAGATGCCAAATTGATAGCACTTGAGAAAAGCTTCCAAAATTCAAAGAAAGGGTGCAGCATAGAGACCAAAAAGTGAAGATTTTCATATAGCGGTTTGTAAACATGTCACGAAAGATCCAGCTTGAGGGCTAAAATAGTAGATCGGCCTCTTCTGCATTCAACCTCTGACATTTTTCTGCAATAATTCAGTCATATAAGAAATTCTTCAGGAGGTTCATATTTCTTCTCTGCATGATGCAAATGACAATCATTCACTTCAAGTCAAAAAGCCACCAAATACAGTTTTTACAAATAAAAAGTGAATTGGCTGACATTTGAAGAGAACGAACATTTCCCACAAAAACTGAAAGTATCCCAAGAGAATAATCTGATCGTTTTGCCAAAAAGTGGTGCTGTGGCCTTTGAATTTAAATAGCGGCTGCTGAGGGAAAAGCCCAGCACTGTTTTTACACAGACAGAAGTCTGAGAACTCACGTATGTATTGGTTAACCCACACTAGTAGAAAAAACATTGTTAAAATGCACTGTACCATGCTAGGATTTTTGAATTTGATCACAAACCAATGCCCTTAATTCATATGCTGACTTTTGTTTGACAGAAGATAGTATCCCTGATAATCACTAACTTTACAAGGGTTTATATAGTTGCATCCAAGCTGTGATACAACAAAAATGCTTCTTAAATTATTAATGTTATTTTGTTGGAAACAATAACAGGATCTCCTGGAATTAATTTTATGTGATACAAATGCCAAGTAAAATGACATTTAAATTTTTAAATGTTAATGATTCTTATAGAACTTTTAGAGCGGGGCCCAGGGTGTTGGCAGAACAGCAGATGAAGCTTTGAATCGACGGTTAAATCTGCACCGGGACTGAGTGTGCCACGCTCATAGCCAGCTCTGAAGTCCCTGACATGCAATGAAATCCCCAGGTCTCAGCAAAAGCAGGTGCTCTTTGCAGCATCAGTTGGGTGCCCAGATGATCAAAATTCAGCGTGGAGATGAGGGAGGCACCCAGGGATGTCAGGAATGTACCACAGCTGTTCCTTAAGCCACATAGGCTTAAGTCTTCTTGTTACTCGCCCTCCAGGTGTTCCAGGGAAATTTCGACAACGACACGCACCGTAAGAACGTCATCGACCCTCCGATCTATGCCCGGCACATCCGCATCCTCCCGTGGTCGTGGTACGGCAGGATCACCCTGCGGTCGGAGCTGCTGGGCTGCACAGCGGAGGACTGAGGCAGATCTCCGTTGGGCATCGCAGCTCTCGGTGTAGCTACAAGTCCCTCCGTAGAAGAAACTGTGCAAAGCCTGTAGGATGCTGAGTGGGTTTTTCATGAACAAGTGCTTATTCTATGGTAGGCCGCTAACTGTCTTTCACAAGGAGGTCTAAGCCTGCCCTTTAAATGATCCAATCCGATTTTGTCCTTGAAATCTGTTAGTGTTGTCCCTTCTGCTGTGGAATTATCTTTCTAGTTCTCCTTTGAGTTGTTCACACTAGTTGAAACGTGTTAGGGAAAAACAGCAGCATCCTTTTTACAAGGGAAGAGAAATAGCATGACAAAGCTCATTTGCAGCTTTAGAAACACTGGGCTGACGAGTTCTCCATAAATCATACTGTCATCTTACTTGCAAAAAGTGATACTGCAGCTTTTAGCAATAAGTTTACTTGGGGATGACTGCATTATAGTAATTGTGCCTATCAAACACTGTCAGTATTTATGACATATATTTTGGAAGATACTCCGTGGTACTGTAAAACACAGTACCTGTGATATTACAAGCTACCTTTCATCATTTTCATCTGAACAGCAGAGTCCATGCACCTAAAGGGTTTTCCTAACTAACCCCATTTTCCTTCTCTATTTTGCATGCTATAGACATGACCTCCACCTTTTCCGTTTAGTATCACCACTAATGTTATTTTCCTTGAAAGAGGTGATCTGTTTGCATATGGAGCAAAATCTGCTATCAGTATATTATGAAGTTAATGAATTTGCCAAAGTTTATTAATTCTGCATGAGATGCGCTTTTTCAAGGAGGCTGAGATGAGATGCCAGGCTCCTCGTGGTATCTCATCTTAAGTACCCGCGCAGGTAAAGGCAAACAGCGCATCAGAAATCCCGAGCCCGTTTTGTGACTTGCCCCGGGGTGAGCACACAACCCTAGACGGAGCTGCCTGCCCAATTACTTCTTTCAAAAACCTCCTCAATTTCTGTGAGGAGGTAAATGTGGGGTGAAGCAATTAGGTGCTAAAAGACACACAAGGAGGAATGACTCCCTTACTGCCAGAAGACCCTCTCAGTAGGCTCTTCTTATGGTGGCGCTTACAGCCTTCCTCCCAGGCATGAAGGCAAGAGATCCTGTAGGAGTTCATCAAAGCTGGGTCCTTGGCACAGTCCACTCCCAACTACGTCTTTTCAAACATATGCCAGTGAGCCATTTTCATCATGCCTCATCTACAGAAACACTTCATACACACTATGTTCTTTTAACAACATGATAGCCAGCGACGACCCCAGTTTAAAAAGTAGATTTTGGGAGGAAAAGTAGACCAGTAGGAGGAACATTCTCCCCTGTGCCTCCGTTTCTGCTGATCATGGAGATAATGTCACCAACCTCTGTAGAGCACTCCCGAGTTTCCTTGGAACAAAGTGCTCTATGACTACGTTAGAGTAGCACCTGAGTCTAAAAAAAACCTGGGACAAGGAGCGAGGGGACGTTTTATCTGTTACCTGAAATAACAGCATTTGGGATTACTGCCACCCTTCTAATTTCATAACATGCTGATCTGGAGAGAGAGAGATAGGTATATATATAGCTGCATGTTTTAGCAAATGTCACTGAACTTATTTTTTGTCACCGTTACATTCTCACCAAAACGCTGAAGTACAAACCTGGGTACTGTTTCCCAGGCAAACAGCTAGTTGGCCCACAGTCTGCAAAGGGCAAAGTTTACTTTGGAAACAAAATGGCTTGGATTTCAAAAACCGGCATTCAATCACACATTCTCCACCACAGACGAAATATATTATCCATTGAACTGTGAAAGACTCTAGAATAGCAGACAGGAATTTTACATACAAGAATTGGGGATATATTGGTGGCGGTTTTCTGATAGTGTCACTTAAACTGTCACGTTTTAACAAACAGAACACCCTGCCTCTATAAAATGACTTAATCCTTAAACTGTATTTATACAAGTATTTATTTTATAAGGCTTAGACATTTAAAGACTTCTAAAGAAGAGTCTTGTAAAGGTAAAAGTATGTGTAAGAAATGTTGAGGTCCTGTGCAACACTGCTAAGTTTGTTCTTTATTTTTTACTTTGTGCTGCATAACAAAAGCCACTAGACTGTTACTGTCTTGTCTGTAACTGTGTTAACAGCATTCCTTAATGATGTATATATGGAGTGGTCTTCAAGCATAGTGGGCAATTTTAAAGAGAAAGTCAGTCATAGTGGTACTTCTAAAGAGAAAAGAATTCTGAATAATGGAGGACAAGTGTATTCGCAGATTACCTCGTGCCCATGTTTTGCATTTTAGGCTCTGCAGAAAAACCCAAAAAACAACAACAACAACAACAAAACCCAAACAAAAGACATAATATTTATATCTTTAGGACACACACAATATTTAAAGACATCCAAAAACGTTTTCCTGTTATGAGAGAGCAATTGTCCTGGAATTTAATTACAGATGTGAAGAAAAGAATGTAGCTATTTCACTTGTTGACTCTACCCAAAAACTTGGAAGGCCATTTCAGAAAATTAGGCTCCCTAGTTAACCAAATCATTTTAGTGTTCTTTTGAAATATTTGTTGTGTTCTTAAGTGATTTTTTTCATGTTATTCATCTTTTGCAACTTCAGTTTTTGTTTTGAATTTATCTTTGTTGGTTTAGTAATTTAATTGTTATCCATTCATCTGCATATAAAAATAGCGTGGCCATGATACCTAACATAGTAATCTTATTTTGTACTAATTTAGAGCTGAGTATTTTCATCCTTATGTCCTGTGTCAGCTTTCATCTGCCAGCAGTCTTCACAACCTGCAAAGAAAGCTCCACACATTATGATAACACTGTGATAATTGATAAAAGAATCGTGGATGTGATGCCCTTATATTTTCAACCAACATACTGGGGCTTTTTCTAATGAAATTATTCCTTAGCTACCAAGAAGCTTTCTTTAAATGACATTGTGCAGCCATAGTACCAAATTCTGCTCCCAGTGTCAGCAGTGTAAGTCTGAAATAACTCTTGATTTCTCTGGAATACTTCAGACTTAACAAAACACATGAGAATGAGATTATGGTCTAGAATTAAACGTTTTCCCTTTAATTTTACTTTCTTGTCTTGGGGAATACCATTGACATAAGGGACAAGTTATAAATCACCATGACTCTACTCTCCTAGTGACAGCAATCAGAATCCCCAAACCAGAAATAAATGCAGGTCCGGAATATGTCCCTTTAAGAGGAGATGGAGAAACACTCCGAAATGATCCTTGACATCCCTAGTAATTGTAACAATGGCATTAAATAAGACTGAAAATGTTCTCCTAATTAAATTTCACCCTGAACCAGTTAAGTATTTGTAGGCAGACTTCACCTTTCTGTAGCTCTGTAACGTGCTACGTTTATAGCCTAGGAAATAAAGAACTGTCACGAGGCTCTGTTTTATCTGTGTGCTGTTAAGGGCTTATCACGTTAACTGGCTCTGGTTTTGAGGTTGACTTTCTCTTTTGGAATGGCTGCATACAAATTAGTGTCAGTTTTGAAGACTAAGGATACTAAATGAGTGTATCTTTGCTATACAACAAATATGAACTATAATATTCAGTGCTGGCTTCTGGTGTGTCAGTAAGTACAGAAGTATCTCGGACACAATGACCTTTGCAACCTTTCAAGCTGTGTAATATTCAAATGGTTTTGTATATACTTAAATCATGTAGAACGATGTAAAACCAGTATGACCTTGTCTAGTCTTCAAACTTAACAATAAAACTTTTGAAAAATGAGGTCATTTCTGAAGCACTTACATTGCAATACCTTGAAGGAGATACAACTTATCTCAGCCTCACTGGCAGCAAATGCGGAGCAGAGATATGATGTGGCATTTTCCTGGATTCATTCGCGGGGTCTTTGTGGTAGGTAAGTTTGTTTCTGGCAAAATCAACTGTGGTGCTGCGCTGCCTTCAATGTGTTCCCTTTGTTCTTTCCGATAAAAAAGCAAAGGTTTGAATGAGTCTAAAAATATTTTTCTATCTTACTGCTCTCTGAATGAGCACCAGAAATGTAAACTCACAATTTCATTTCCTTTAAGTCACATTTCTTGGGATGTTTATCAATCCTTATCCTCTCTTCTCCACTCCTGCATAGGTAAATTAATTTCCGAAAAGATAAACAAGGGCTGCAGCGCAGACCCGCTATGAGGCTTCCAGCGGAGATGCGAAAGCAGGATCAGTGCTTGCTGATGCCCTCGCCTCTCTTCAACTTATTTGCTGTAGACCCTGCTCCCTAAAATTTCTTAGTTTAGTTAACTCTGTTATTTTAATTTCTGAAGAATCCTAGAGGTTAAAGCAGCATATGGAAAAGCCATTTTCCCCAATTTTAAACAATGAGATTTTTTAAAAAATGTTGTTTTGTGTACTTATGAGAGGTGGAGCTTCAGTGGTTTACTCCATACTGATTCAGAATAAGCCCGTGCTTTAGTTTCATATCCATTTCAGCATGTGTCCTATCACCAAAAATTGTTTCTTAGAGATAAGAACCATCCTCGAGTGTGCACTGATTGACAGGTACCTTGTCTGCCAACCATGCAGTCTGAACACTAACAGTGTATCGTCTATCAACAGAAAAGCCACAGAATTGATGTTGCAATTTTTTCTGATTACATACATCTACCAGTCATAAAAATGAGAATATAATGGTGCACACAAAAAGAGGATTACTTTCGGTGAATGATGGCTGAATATTAGCGCTTCGATCATACATTTCTGAAAATAGACATCTTGAATCTTTCTGACTTTTAATTATAAATTGCAACTCTTTCATGAAACATGGGGCCTGTTCCTGAAGAAATTAAGAGTGATTTTTCCTCTCATTCTTCATAATGTAGATCCCCAGGAACTGTAATGGAGACAATAAGAGAAAATAATGAGTAATTCTCTTCAGAATAGCAACTATTTATCAATGTCTGTCCTCCCATACCTGTTGCTAATGAGCTAAATGGATTAACATGCATATCGACACTCTAGATCATTATGACATCTAGTCTCAGATACTTCTGTGGTAAATGCTATGACACTTACTTTGTACCTTAGATTCAAACAATAGGACGTTAATCTGTTCACTTAGTGATCACTTAGTGACCTGTGATCACTTAGCCTTATAAAATAAAATAGGACAAAATAGAAGAGAATATTGCTGATACAAACATTTTGTTTTCTTTTTTAAAAATTTGCTTAATTTTCTTCATAGAGAAATACACTTTAGGCTGCAAAAGACTGCTTTAGATTGAGAACGTAAAATGAAAAGGCAGACTTGTCTTTGTTAAATAGCTTTATAACTGCATTTATCGCACATTGTCTTTCAATGATGCACATCAATATCAGCATTGAGAGCTGTAAATATGTATATTTAAATGCTTCTGAACATAAGATCATGGAAATATACCTGGGTCTCACAATTTAGCTTGCTAAGAGTGCAGCAAAATATATTTTACC